AGACTTTGGTTGAGGGTGGGCCTTCTAATATGACCAACAGAGGGAGCCAGATGAGGACATTTTGGCTAGTCTAACTTTCTTCAAAGGCTGTTTGAGGGTCTTAACTTGGGTCTAACTAAGCTTAGTTTAAAGTCATGGTAAGGGATGACATCAATAATTGTTAAAGCTGCTTATGTATTCCCTGATGTTCTGACGGTAAGGATTAATAAAAGTTAGTCAGTGTGTGTGTGTGTGTGTGATTACCCGCTGGATGAGGTGCTGGCCAGTGATCGTCTCAGGCTGACTGGCTGGTTGAGGTCGTAGGCCAGATGACCCTGGAGCTCTCCCATAGAGAAACTAGGTCCTACTCCTGTGACTACTGGAGCTACACACACACACACACACACACACACACACACACACACACACACACTACATATTGAAAATTAAATATGTATTTAAATACTTGGGTTGAGTTGACTAAATCCGTTGTCTGTATTATTACATCCCTCCTGCAAAAGTGTGAAGCTAATAAAAAAAACGATGTGTCTGTCAGTTCAGAGCAGCAGACAGAGTAAAGATGATACCTCAGATTATCACATTCAGATATAAAACAGACACACTGGATTAGTTTGCTTTAAAATGTGATAATGTTAATTTGAATCAGCCGTTAGCATTTCTGTAGGTTCACTTTACTGTATAACTGTCCTGTTAAACACTTAAAATGAATTATTTATGGTGAAGTGTTCACAGTGGCTTGTTTAGGACTCCTGATGTAGAAGTGAAGTCCCACTAGCAAGTCAAAGACTTGACTTGGCTTTACATTTCATAAAGTCAAAAATGTACTGGTAACAATGGTTTTGTTGCAATGCCATGTTTTTTGGTGCAAGTCAGTTTTTTTCTCATTGTTTATTCATTTCACTTTCACTGAGTTGGGTGGAGTGGCACAGCTGAAGTTGAGCAAATATATGCGTTTATGTATATCACTGTACTCTTTTTGGCATGAAATTGCACTTTTATTTCTACACAAGTCCAAAGAGCAACCCTCCAAAATATGCCATGCATGTTGAGACATGTTCATGTCATATGGCAATAATTACCAGCCTCTTACTTGCAATTAGTATTGGCATCAGCATCCAAGTTATAATTATGACTGGGAAACTCATGTTTTCTAAATTTGATGGAATATAGCGCTGTACTGTCAATGCACAGTATCTGAACTGTCCCATTGCCAACTCTTCAATCATACGGAGTGACATGCTCAATGTAGCTGAAACAAAAGATTGGTGTTTCAATGGATGGTGGTGGTGAGTTGGTAAAGATTAAAGCTAATAGTAGATGCCACTTACTTCTTGAAACCTGGACCAGCTCAGTGACACTGAAAACGCCTGATGTCAGAAAACTCTCCTGGAACTCTGGACCATCTGTAGAAACACAACTGCATTTAGAAATGTCTGCTGTGTTCGTGTGTATCTCAAGCAGTGGGATGAGATGTTCTTTCACTCAATCAATTCTTTGTGGATGTTCAGTGCACCATTCTTTTAAATGTAGTTGTGCTTGTGTACAAAGTGTTTCCCCTGTACAAAGCTTTGTGGAATTATCTCTTTTGATAGTTTGCTTTTATGTTATGTTTACCTTTCTTTTGTTTCATTCTTTCAATGTGTTGGTTTTGCATTGTGTAACATTAAGATTGAAGTCTCTCCAGTTTCTTGCTATGCCCAATATTGGGTTTGGAATTAATTGTATTCATATTTTGAAAACCTTATATAATAATCCTGAAGCATTGGTCCAACACAAAACCAGTGCACCAATTGTCATGGCATGTGGTCCTCATCAGTGTTTAATCAGGCTGATTAGACCACTCCCCCAAGATTATATAACTCCGCCTATTAATGATGTGATTTAAAACAATGATAACATTATCAATTCAATTCATTATATTTTGTACAGCCCAATATATGTATATGCATATATGTATATATTAATTATTATTGTTTGTTTGACACTAATCAGATCTGAAATATTTTCTTCTTTGTATAGAAAAAAAGATCTACCAACCACCATCCATTTGTCAACCGTTTCAATCCCTCCTGGATGCCAGCAAATTATTGGAATGGCTTCCTAGACCCTGAATATAAATGTGCATCACCACACAGTGTAGCTTTTTCAGTCTGCGTTACTAGTCCTATTACTAGAGCCTAGTGCATGGTGATGGTGATGGTGATGCAGATAATGTTAAGAGGTACAGGCCATACAATCTCAATACATGGATGACATGTTACTGTCCGTGATCACAATCCTTCTTATCTTCCAAATGGTTGAATATTCTTTTGGACTTGGTATGAATTTCATCCATCACATATAACAAAATTATGAAGAAAATTAACAGACAGTAAAAATGGAAAACAGTCCTATACATCGACAAAAATATTATGCATGTACTGTACATTACAGAATAACCAGGTTCCACAGAGTGAAAAACTGAATATTCATCCATAATGGAGTATCCTTTACATTACCCATGGTGGCGGTTCGACTGTCCTCCTGGTCAGAACCCACTCCTGTACGACTGGGACTGCTGCTCTGCTCTGCCTCTGAAGAGAGAGAGACTTGATCTATCCATACATCAGGACAATTTTAGCAAGACACGGTTACCGGATTAAGAGTCACAAAAAGAACGAGAACTGACTTCTGAAACAGGTAAGTGAGGGGAAAGAACACTTTGACACATCCATCAGGGTTTCTCTTAGCTGGTGTGTCTCATACATACTTGCCTATTATCACTGTGTACTGGGACATTTAGGTGCACTGTGGTCTCAGCCGTGTTGAGTCCATCATTATATAGTGCTTCTACAGCAGCAGCCAGATGGCCCCAGTTTTCTTGAATGAATGAATGAAACCCTGGTGTTTTTGGTCTGAAATTGTCTGGTCGGTCCCTATATCCTCCAGGTTTTGTCCCACCAACTAAGTGTTAGTCACCATGGTGGACATTTTGACTTGTCACACATTTACTACTGTAAAAACATTAATAATAGCTACTTTTGGTGAATGAAGGAACAAAACCTGTGTGCTAGGCTGGCTCACTAGTGTCTTACTGGGACAAATGTGTGGAGCAGAGGCCATCAACCATCTGAGGCCCACAGTTCATTGGTTACTCAATTGCGTAGGGCCCTGAAAAATACTATATAAATATATGTTTTTTTTAAGAAGTTGTTGGGAGACATAAACCCAATCAATGGCAGTCGTAGTTCATATTATATGCAGTATGAATTAGCTCATAGCATATGAGGGAGATAATACTGTATATCATAACGTTTGCCTGAGTTGTTAACAGCTGCAGGTGGAATCAAGATTGATATTCCACCAGACGGGCCATCAGTAGTAAATGCTGTAACTTTGCATCTTACAAAGTGAAACTGTTTGAGATATGGACCATGGTCCACAAACTAAACATAAGCCTTCAGTCAGTTTAGGAAATATACAACCCAACGATGTCTCCAGTATACATTCAGGTCAAGTAAACAATAACAACTAAACTGCATCGTTTTGACTTTACTCCTATGGTGCTGTTAGAAACAGCATAGATTTTAGAGCACTCTTTGAGTGTATTGCTGAGTAGAAGCTGTGTCTACAATCACAGTACTAAAACCACAGTCCTGACACTGAGAGCACAGTGAGTTAGAGCCCTCGCCCTCCACACATCCTGCTGAAAAGCCTCCTCTGTTCCCCTGGCTGGCTGTCCATCATGTTTCTTGTGCAGTCACTTGATATTTTATTAATGCTGCAGAGACCCGGCATCACTGGTGTCACTAGTTACAGGTGCTGTTGTATGTCTGCTGTCCTGTCCCATTAAAAACTGCTAATGGTGTTACAGCCCCTGAAGCCACAATATGAAAAACAGACGTGAACACTGAGTTCTTTCAGTTGTTTTTGGAGTCAACTTATAGCTGCATTAAACTAATTTATACACTTGGTTTTAACCAACCAATGAGAAAGAAGAGCTCAGTTCAGACGTTCCCAGATAACTTCTGCGTCACTAACAGCAACTCCGAGTATGATTCAAAAACATCCACAGACCTCAGAACTACTTGTCATGACAAATAGTAGCTTTTTAGAAATTCTCATATTAATTCAGATATGGATAATCATTGCACTTTTTCAGCCATGGTGGCAGTGTGGCTCTAAGGATGGACATGTCTGTCGGTCAGTCTCCCACTTTGGTCCAGACTGAAATATCTCAACAACTATTAGAGGGATGTGCCTGTACATAGGTAGATACATCGGCCTCAGGCTAAGCACGTATCAATTCTTCTCCATAAACAATGCATTTGTGAACATTTCATCGACTTTCTTTCTGCAAAACAGAATTGTCCGTATATTGTTTTTATGCAGGGTATAATGAATATAATGATACAAATATTGAATCTTGTTAAATCTAGGCAATTATAGAATATGTTAAGGAAATAATTACCAGACTTTTACCTGCAATTAGCATTCGTATCAGCATGCAAGTTATAATTATAACTGGGAAACTCATGTTTCCTAAATTTGATGGAATATAGCACTGTACTGTCAATGCAAAGTATCTAAACTGTCCAATTTTTTAACGTGGATTGTGTAGAGGTAGAGAACCTCTTAACACTCCGACGGCCTGTTAACTGTACATCTGTGTCATGTACACAACTGCTATGTATAGTTAGGTACTGATGCTACATATCTTTGGAAAGCTAAGATTCTTGTGATTCGATTTATGCAAACCCTTTCAAGATACAATCACAACAGCAGGTACAATCAGTGGTGTATAAAGTACTCAAAAGCCATACTTGAGTAAAAGTAAAGATACCTTACTGGAAAACTACTCCAGTAAAAGTAAAAAGTCATCTATTAGAATACTACTTGAGGAAAAGTCTTAAAGTATCTGATATTTATTGTACTTAATTATCAAAAGTAATTTTCTGATATTAAATGTACTTAAGTATTGAAAGTAAAAGTACAAGTAAATGCTGTTAATAAAAAAGCAAAGCGTCAGAATTTTGAGAATTATGAAGTTTATTCTTTTAAGTGCTGTGGCCACCATCACCAAGGACATGGAGTTGTGTTGAAAATAATTGTGTTGGCTGTGATCCATCCAGGAGCAACAATGTTCAACATAATATATTGTACATAAGTATACTTTTGCATCTACTATGAACTTATCATCATAATTCTCCGAAAATCAATATGACACTATGAAGGAGTTGTAACAGTGCGTTTATAAGTATGCTCATTCCGACTAGAGGATGTAGAGGGCAAATGCATAATGTTGTGTTCAGCAAAAAATATCCACTTGATGCATCAGGTCAGTGTTTTGAGAAAGGACGCCTGCCTTGTAAACTGAATTGAACACAATAGGCAAAGGTTTTGCTCAAGCTGTATCTGCAATTGGGCATCATAACGCCATCTGATCATCCACAAAATGACTCAAATATCAAAACATGATCAATACTAAAGCAGCACCGAAAGTAACAACCCAATCATTACTTGAAACTGAAAAATGTCCTGTTCATCTTCAAAAGAAGTTGGTTTTCAAAATTGCGAGAATTCAGTCTCGCTCTTCTTGGGCTGAAGACTAGTCCTGCGATGCTAAATAGCCTTTCACAGGCCGCTGAGGCAGGTAGAGGTGTGTTCAGCTTCACAGACAGCTTGCGCACAGCTGGAAAGGATTTCCCTAATGCTGCGCTCTCGCGGCTCCTGTCAATCCTATGGTGTGGTGGCTAGCTATAGCTAACGTTAGCCAACTAGTGCTGCACAACTGTCAACACTTCCTCAGCTCACTAATTCTCTAGCGATCCACGGGTGTTGGTCTTCGTCACCACCGTCGTTTGTTGCGGGAGTAGCAGGTGCTTCCATTTCTGCTTCCATCATGAAATCAGTCATCGTAGAGTGGAATTCTACTCATGTAGTCGCTCGCTATCTAGCATCCTGGGCATCACTGGGAATCAAAACACCGCGGCTTTGAGAGCACTTGTTTGCAATTGCGCATTAACGTGATTAACCAATGATTTAACTTGCAAGCTAGGACCACTGATTCGCCAAACCTGCTTGCTTGCAGTCTCTGTTCCACCACAGTCCCCGACGTTGGTCTCATGATTCATTTTTTTTCTAAAGATAGATTTGATTTTGTAACGAGTAACGAAGGTTTCAGGGGAAATGTATCGGGGTAAAAGTATCAGTTTTCTTTGCAAAATATAGTGAAGTAAAAGTAAAAGTCAACAGAAATATAAGTAGTAAAGTAAAGTACAGATATCCAAAAAAACGACTTAAGTACAGTAACGAAGTATTTCTACTTCGTTACTATACACCAGTGGGTACAATCAAGGCCTCTGTCAGACCACCAACCAACAAACAAGCAGTTACAAAATCGAGGCAACTCACTGATGAATAGGGTTGGGTATCGTTTGGGTTTTTTCCGATACAGGTGCTAAAACGATACTTTTAAAACGATAGCGGTGCCTAAACGGTGCCTGAACCGATACTTTTTTCTTCAAATTGAACAATATATTAACTGTTTAAAGTATACTATGAATATAAATAAATACAAAACACTTGGCTTCAAACTACAGCTTCAAACTTTTTAACTTCAAACTATGAACAATATATTACCAGTTTACAGTATACTTAAATAAATATAAATAAATACAAAACACACACACACACACACACACACACACACACACACACACACTCTGTACACACACTACAGCTTCAAACTTCAGCAATTCTTTTGCAGAAATATGAGCATATTTGCCTTCTCTGGCAAAATAGGACACCTTTTTATTTTACCAGTTGGTCGCGGTAATGCGCCAATTCATCGTTTGCCAACCGCCACTACACCTCAAAGAAGAAGAAGAAGGTTTCGCATGCCGGATGTTGTGCTTGTTATGAGCGGCAGCGCTAAGTACCCGGATGTCGATGGAGGATGTTAGTAGCCTGCCAGCCGTTTGACAGATCGTTTTGTTTTTGTTTTTTTATAAATCATGGCCGAAGCTTCGCCAGAATGATGGAGGGGTTTGTTTCTAAGCGCACACGGCTTGTCCGGTTGTAATAATACTATGAGTGAGGAGCGGAGGACCGAGGCTATCGTTAGCTGCTGCCAGGATGGAGTCATCAGAGTAGTGTAAAAAAAGTATTTCAATCGGCTCAGGCACCGAAAGGAAGCACCGAAATCTGCGTTGCGTTTCGGTCCGGTAGATACCGGTCATATAGGTACCGGTGCCATACCGGCACCGGGTTTCGGTACCCAACCCTACCGATGAAGCTTCATAGAAATCCACCCATCGATAATATTCCAACAAAAACGGTCTCGTTACATTGCCAAAGGTCCAGACGATCCAATCCAGTAAAATATTTAGTCCAAAACACATTATTACGTCCATAAATGCCCACGACTGCTGTTGCATCATTTCAAAATAGCCGGCTGATATGCCTAATTATTTATATATTTTCAAACGTAACTTCAGTTCGCATGTAAATTTTGCCCGTCTCTATGTCTCAAAATGGCGGCTGCACTCTGACGTTTTGATTGACACCTCATTTGACCCAATAGGAACTTCCATGTCCTGTCCACAGCCTACAATAGCCAACGAGAGTCCGCGTTGAGGGAAAGTGCCTGCCCCTCTTCTGTCGTGTAAAGCTCGAGCCAATTGCAACCGATCATTCTGATGACTGACGCTGAAAATAACGATATTCAGCTTCAGGGGTTAGATTTAGAGGCAGAACGCGGAAATAACCTGCGTAACCGCGAGTCAGCTCCCTGCGTTCGTGCGTAAAATGCAAAGTGTGGTTTTTGAGAGTTTTGGAGACTTTAGGAAAGTCAATAATGGCGAAATAACTTATAGATTACTGTATATCGACATAAATAAGCTTTAGTTTGAATTATGAATACACATTTTTACACAGCCTAGGAATGTTACCATGGTTACCATGGGTCTCCAAATGGCCTTTTTTGGAAAGCGCCTAGACATACCCTTAGAAAAACATGTGTAGAATATTAATTTTCTGTGGTATTGTTATCAAATTTGAACTTGGACTAGGTGAGGCTTCATGCTGTGGTCCCATTGTGTTTTCCAGCTATTAAGTCCCAGCTATAGTCATCTGCTGGCATCTGTTTGCAAAGAAATATTCAGGCGGAAATAAAAACCTTCTACTTCAGTGTGTTCAAACTTCTATTACTCAATGCCAGTAGCACTTACAGTGATTCTGACTGTTGGGGAAAAAACTTCAGAGTGTTACCTTTCAAAAGAGACCATGCATGTAATACAAATGGTTCAAGAACAGCTTTCAATTTACTTTGGGTATGCCTTGGATAGGCTAAATAAGGCTAATTTTACTGGAGTGGTAACAGGTTAAAAAGCTTTAAGTAATAGATAGATCAATAGATATATAAATCGATAGATAGATAGATAGATTGGGAAATGAAGCAATGTTAAAGCTCTACTATGAAAATCATACCATACCACTACCTGCATGTGGTTCAATTTAAATCCATTATAACATCAAGGCATTTAAAGTAGGCTTTTATTGTGACTAATAGCTAATATTACCAAAGATTTATTCCATGTTGTTTTAGATTCAGAACCTTTCTGACAACAATCTGATAAGTGCTTTCATTTTAAAGAGAATAGGAAGCCTGAAACCAACATACAAACAGAGGAGAAAAAAATATGTAGGTGTATTCTCCTGGCTGTATTATCAACAACCTGATGTAGTGAGTCAGTATTAGAATTTTACCTCGATGAAAGTGTGTGTTCGTACATACCTCTCTCTTGCACATAGTAAGCGAGGTAGAGGTCAAGCTCTTTGACAGAGACAGAGATATGTTTAGGCTGGACACAGAGGACTGGATTAGAGCACTGGCCTCCCTTGACCAGCCGCTCTCCATCTGTGCTTTCCAATGGGATTCCTTTAAACAGGATGACCATCACCAGGTCTAACCTCCACACCTTGAAACAGACAAAACACAATCATTGTTGACCGAAAACAGCATAAATCTAACTCTGGCCAAGGTGAGAATAACAATATACCATGAGGACTCACTGCATCAATGCTCCCCTTTATGTGAACCATACCCTGAATAGTTTCAAGTCATCTGTACTGTTTAAAGTTTTACTTCAAATTCATAATTGAAATACCTGTCAACAAAATAAAATCAGATGATGTCATCTACAGCAGGATAAATGAATAGTCTTCTGTATATGAGTGTGAGACCAGGGAAGCTCACACACAAAACATATGTGTAGCACTGTAAGTATTTACAGATAGCTAGGACCGGATTCTAGGTTCGGAGGAGCAGTTTGTAACTAGAACTTAGAATTAACAGACCACAGACCAAGGAGTACGTTTGAACTGCCTGCTTATTTATGCAGACAAATAGTAGTAGACATACATATAAATAAATTGGTACCAAATCACATACACACGGAGGAATTGTGCATTTAAATTCCTTTAAACCCTCCAAAATGAAACCAAAATCTCAGAAAATAAATATTTCTCCCTGTTTTATTTCACTTTGGTAGGTTGGTCTGGCAGAATAAGATGCCTATCCAATGTGATTTCTCCTATGGGTGGCTTGCCATCTTCATTTCCCAGCTTTGTGTGTGCAAACACCAAGCCATCCTCATAACTAAAAAACCTGGCCTGTTGTATAACAGTGCAATATACATACAAATATTATATTCTTACATATTCCGTCACGAAATGAAGTACTTGAGTAGAGCTAGCACCTAAATATATGTTACTTATCTGTACCGTACCCTATAATGGCAGCACTGTTTACCAAACAATACTAACGAGGCTAAACTTGACCATGCCTGTTGCATGTAGTTTCTCAATTCCCTTTACACAAAGGAAATGCACAAAATACATAGCTACTGGCAATTTTGGCTGCACATTCAGCTTGAAAAACAAGGAAATAGCATACTAATTGACATGTAAAAAATACAGTTTTAACTCATCAAATCCTGGGTTCAAAACTAAAAAAAAAAAGATTCCAGCAACGTCAGCAGGAACACAAAATCCTCAAAAAATGGAAAAATAAAGTTTACACTCCTCAAAACTTCTTTCTTTGCTCTTATATTCCTTCTCCCCTCACTGGTTTGCGACCTCTCTTTGACTTGTCTCTCACAATCTACTGTTCTCTCTCTATTTTTCCTCTGTCTCCAGCATGCGGTGCTACAGTAACACTGGTTGTTACCGCTGTACAAAGTAAATGGCAAAAACCAACAGTATAAACCACCATTACGACTGTTAATGTCAATGACCTTAATAACTGTTATTTAATTAGTTTACCCTAAATGTATTATTTGTTTAACTTTGTATTTGTTTAAGGTTATAATAACCTAGGTTACATATGGATCTGTAATCTAGATGTTTTTCTTGATTTGCAGTGTGGGGAAAATTGCATTCATTAAATTATCGACCATGTTCAAATTGTCAACATTTTGCATGCCACAACTGCTTACGTGATAAAACCCAGTCAACTACTTGACCTATCAAATGAAATGCTATTAACAAAATAAAAAAACAACATTTTACTTTCGTTAATGTTGTCAGCCTGTATTCACTTTTACAGTTATCTGGTATATTGAGGGGATTTCTCTTGCCCCAATACCTCAAAATACTATAACTTTAGTTTTAACAAGGCAAGAGTAATTCAACTTTTGCACTTTCCAGTTGTAGTTCTCTTGGGATCCTGCCGACAACGCCAATTAGTATATTAACATAATATTGGAACATTAAAGCTGATAAATGCAAGATTGATTGCCTCTCAACAGCGCGACAGCTGAGCCGACGACCTGCAGCTAATGGCTCTAACAAAACTAAGTGCAAACTATGTCAGAGGCGCTGGTAGAGCTATCAGTATGTACCTGATGGGGAACCTCATGATGACACCATGAGTCGGGACGGCGATATCAGCTGTATTTTTGTACGAGAGTGGTGGTCGCGAGCTAGCCAGTGAGGCACGCTCACATGCACTAACATGCACTGAAGGGCCTGTGGCCCACTGTGTCAACAAATCAAGGAGAAGCAACACACAGAGGGGGAGAGACTTCATTCTCTGCTCAGGTAGACATTATTCCACTATATTTTTACATAGACCATAAATGTTTGATGAGATACCTTTAAATAAAAAAATATAATGTTAGTATCGGTTGGCCAATAGAGGGCGCTAGGGCACCGCCCCCCCTTGAGCCACAACATTTTCTTTTTAATAATAATAAATTATACAAATTGTCAATATTTGTGTTTTTGAAATATGGAATGCACCCAGTAATATGTGTAAAATATGATATCTGGCCAAAATATATGCTTTTCCTGCATGTCCTCTCCGCCTGTCTGCATGTCTCAGCAGCGATGGGGCGCTGGAAGAATCGCCCCATCGCGATTACCCATCATTAGGTAAAGCAGTTTAGCCAATTGCTGATTAAAGATATGAATGTATGACATACAATTTAGTCAATCAGTGTCCTCAAATACATTAAGCGTGGGGCAAAATTTGTATTGCCCTTAAACTGCGCGTCCTTGTCAGGACTAGTGTCTACAGGCAAGGCGAGCCCTACTCCTCCAAACCCGGTTTGAGAGGAGAACTTTGGCGGAGAAACTGCAGGTGAAAGAGCTGATCCCAGATCAGCATGACGTCACAATCAGACAGCAGACTAGTGCGAAAGGGAAGCAGTACAAGCTTCTTTAGTAGCTGGTACACCAGAAAGGTTTGGCTAGCTGGTGCACTTCATGTTTACTTTTCCTAATCTTTACCTCCCCAACAAACAAGGTCCATAGGGGCCAAAAATTTGCTAAATCTTCTCTGCCAATGCCAAACAGCTTATTCTGCTGTTGCTCTTGACTCTTGTTTGGTGTTGTTTGGTGGATTGGATGATTGAAGTCTGTCAGTTACAAGGAAGAAACAAGACATATTGGCAATTTTACAATTTATTCATTTAACAAACAGGAGCCTCAGTACCGTATGGAAGAACCATACACAGCCACAACAGCCTGGCTCCTCCTCCTCCTCATGCTGGTCACCAGCCTGCTCACACACTGCTGTGGGATGGCATTCCACTCCTCAAGCAGGATTTGTCGCAAGTCAGCCAACGTGGTTGTGTTGGTCACTCTGGCACGAACAGCTGGTCCCACAAGTGTTCACTTGGGTTGAGGTCAGGACTGTTGGCAGGCCATTCCATCCTCTCTACTCCCAAATTCTGGAGATAGTCTCTGATGAACCCCGCTATGTGGGGGCGAGCGTTGTCATCTTAGAGACTTAAAAAATTTCCTCGGGCAAAGGTCCGGAACATTACACTAATATCTAACTTGCGTTATTTAGTGTCATATATATACATGTATATATATATATATATTCAAGAAGCCTAGTAGTAGTAAATAAAGAAAATACACATCAATTATATTTTAACAATTATTATTCTCAGTTTTCAAATTTAACTGGATGGATTATAAATAATACATAGAAATACATAAATAAATGTTCTTCTCATTTAGATTTTCGGACTTCTTACTGGAACTAAAACGCACGGATGTACTGAACAACCGTGAGATTAAACTCTTTGTTAACAAAGAAAGAAGGATTGACATTGTCTTTAAATATTGAACAGCAGCTCTGGTAAGTTAAATGTGTTTGTTTTTACATCTGCAGTAGCTTTAATATGTTTGTTTATATATTATTATTTGTACAACTTGTTTTTATGAAGATGGATTTTTGTTTGGTTTAATATGTGATAGGAACCATTGTTACGTCCTATCTTGCTCTGGGGACATATTTAGCGGTGCGAGTGTTGGCAACCTCGCGACTTTCTCGCTAAATCTGGCGACTTTTTTCTGTCAAAAGCTACTAGCGACAAGTCTAGCGACTTTTTCTGGTGTTGTTGGAGACTTTTTTGGTGTTTTGATTCTGACGTTAAAGCACGTACGTTCTGCACTGTCGTGAACGAGCAGCGGGTGCTGCTGTGAGCCCCTCCGCCGCCCCAAAGCACACACAGGCGGGTACTCTCACAGAAGCCTCGTGCAGCTGCAGTCAGAGAGAGGAGACGCACTCTCGGTGTATTAGTTAGTGGATCTATAGGTGTTGGCTTCATTTTTACACGAAACAAATAATAACCGTAGCTGTGTTTCAGCTGCAGGACAGCAGTGAAGGCCCAGGTATAAAATGCACGGCCCGCCACTGATGTATATACAGTATATATATATATATCATATAATAATATTCAATATAATATAAAACACACACATACATATATATATATATATATATACAGTATGTATATATATATATATATATAAAATATATATATATATATATAAAATATAATATAACAGAACATGTTTATTTATTGAGATGCCCTATGGACCTTGTTATAGGAGGTAAACATCAGGAGAAGTAAACATGTGTACACAAGTGTAACAATAACAAGTGTAATTAGGAATACTGATGTTAAAGTAAGCTATGATGAGTTTACACTGTTAATTTACCATCTCAATTAAATGTTGATGCCTCCATGACCAAGTTAAGCAGATGAGACTGAGGACAACTATGTACAAGAAAAGATGTTCACTTTTCCTAATATGTAGCTTGACAGAGTTCTCCATGTGTGTCCTGGTGTTCTCATGTTTCCTTACCTCCTCATCCCTCACTCCCGTAACTTGGATCTGTCCCCGTTGTTTTAAAAAGCTAAATAAGTTATTAGCATAACTGCATCCAGTTAGCCAAACCTGTCTGGTGTACAGCTAGTAGAGAAGCTTCGCATATACTGCTTCCCTTTCCCGCTAGTCTGCTGTCTGATTGTGGGGTCAGGCTGATCTGGGATCAGCTCTTTGGCGGAGGTTCTCCTCTCAAACGGGTCTTGGAGGAGTAGTGCTCGCGCTGGCGCTCGCCTGTAGAGACTTCTCCTGACGACTTTGGCCCCGAGCTGAATCTATTTGAGGACGCTGATTGGCTAAATTGTATACTCATTTATGTCTTTAATCAGCAATTGGCTAAACTGCTTCATAGACCCACCTCTTGTGGGCCATTTATCGATGGCCCCAGCACTGCTGAGATGTGCACACAGGCGGCGAGGATGTGCAGGAAAAGCATATATTTTGCGCAGATATCATAATTTACAAATATTACTGGGTACATTCCATATTTCAAAAACACAAATATTGACAATTTGTAAAATGTATTATTATTATATGTATATATATATATATATATATTTTTTTTTTTTTGTGGCTCAAGGAGGGGCGCTCAAGGTGGGGCCACGCCCCATGGCCCTCTATTGGCCAGCCGCCACTGGATATAACAGAAAGCTTTTGAAAAATGTGCATCTTAAAATAAAGTAATTAATTTTCGAAAAAATGAATTTCACTGAATTGCCCTGCAGCTTTAAATTCAGTTAATTCAGGTGTGAAGTGACGTCAATCAAAAAAGTCATATTATATTTTTCTCATCTTCTAACAAGAGAAATTTGTGTGTGCAGCGACTTTATCTGTGGTTATTAAACCACTTGTTTCAGCTCAATTCTCCCTGTTAACATCATTGGACAGTGAACTAATGTATTAGGATTCGGATCATATTGGGCTCTTAGGTTTATTTTTCTGTGAATTAATTTCAGATGTGAGTGGGTACGTTTGCTCAAAAGAGTTGCGCTTTGTCTCGTAGTGGCGCTTCATCACTTTTAATAATCGCCACGGTCTCTGAACATGTGAGGTACTGGTTTTAAACTGCCCATGGGAAGAATTCACCGATAAGAGTCTGTTCATTCTTGGTTAAAGACTCTGGTCTCTCTGACCACATTTCTCTCTTTGGAGAACGTCATGTGAAATGACTTCTCTGACTCACGTAATTATTCTCCTGCTCTTCGTTGTTTCCTCGTCTCTCCCCCGTTTGTGTACATCTCACTTGAATCAGGAAACTTGTCAGAATACCCATATTTAATTGGCTGAGCTGCATCACGTGATTGGATTTGCACCGCTGAACAAGTGCCGTAAAGGCTGAAAAAGCTGCGCCAGTTAAAATAGAAGTGCTCCTTCAAAATGTAATAATTCTCAAATATCTATCTGTTTTAGGTCCTGGGTCCGGATACAACGCCGTCTGGGTCCGGATCCGGACCGCGGTCCGCCTATTAGTGACCCATGCATCAACCTTGTTTGTTGTGTCCCGTTCTGCAGAACCTTACAACAGTTGATACCCTGGTAACCCTGGGCTCAGTGGGCTGCTCTCTCTGCGGCCAGTACCTTTATCCACACTCTACTGAGGTGCCGAACTGAAAACATTTGACTGCATCAGCCTCAAGGGACCTCTCTCTCAGCTTTTCAGCACCACTTTTACGTTTTTTTGCCGATGGCTAGGAAGCCGCAACCAGTCACATGGGGACGTAAATCACCGTTGTGCATGGAGGCTCCACTCACATAATGAGGTCCACTTTTACTGAAAATATCTGTGGGCATGTGATCAACTCCCGATAATAATCTAAACAACTTTTAAAGAAGACATTAAATGGCCGACAGATTTTGAATTATGTTTTAGTTATTTCCTATTTAGATAGTTTGAGTATTGTTTTTTCTCAAAAAAACATTCTTCTGTTTATGAAAAAACCTCGGCGATAGAACACATAAGCTAAAACATTGCGGCCCCAGGAACAGCTGGATTTTACAGCGAGCAGACAAGATCATCAATAACATCAACATTTACTTATCCTTCTGGTTTGTGGTGCAAACAGACTGAGGAAGAAACTACTGGAAGTGAATCTTGCACTATTAAGTTTACCTTGTCAGCTTGTCGAAGACAGTCTATGCGTCTCATTTTGCCTTTCTGGTCAGGGTTTGACAGGACGCAACACGCAGCTTTCTTCCCAGTGATTGACAAGACAAAGTCTTCTCTGCATTCAGGTCTAATGTCCTTTCTTAGCTTGGCCAAAAGACGGCTGGCCCACTTCTGTTTCACCTAGGAACGGATGATATTGAAAAGGGAGTTAGAGAGTCAATTCATTTATTAAATAATGCATTAATATATGGGAATATTGAAGTGTCTTAACATATTATAAAATACTGGATTGAGAAAAAAAGTCTTCAGTTTGTTTATCAGAAGTTGATTCAAGCCTGAATTATAAAACAAAACATAATTGTTTATTTCTACCATATACCACTCTATTTATCCATCCCACCTCTGCCTTCTCCCCCAGCAGTTCATCTTTGACAGCTCTCTCTTCGTCTTTGGTCATCCTTTTTTCATGTTTTTTGAAGTACTTCCTTTTCCTGGCCTGGAGGTTGAACCATGTGTAGGCAAAGGCACGGACCTGGGGCAGCAGAGCCTCAATGAACGGATGGAACTCATCCTACATGGCAGATAGACATGAACGTAAATACACACACAATTATACACAAACCTTTTACCACAATGTCCTCAGATCCCACATGAGGCAGGGGCTCTATTTTCCCAGGAGTATACAGACATGTTTCAGCTTTAAGTCATGCATCTAACAAAGCAGATATACTTCGGTGGTAATCAATATATGTTTCACTCGCTCTTTGTGGCTCAGGAGGAAAGCGGGCCGTTGGGATAGCGGTTTGATCCTCCTGAACTCTGGCTGTGCTTTCTGACAAAACAATCTAAACTCAAAGTTCATTTACTTTCTTGTTCCAGAGTTTGCGACCATATGACGCATTCTGTGGTGATCAGTTGTCATAAAACTGTAGATGTTTAAATTGTCCATTAGTTTGAGCACTTTATGATCATAAAATATAATAGATGAATGATGGAAAGTTTGAACAACCATTGTTCCATGATCATGAGATGCTGTTGGAAGCTTCAGAATAAGCTGGTGGACCTCAATCAGTATTTAAGTCTGTTTGTGGTTAGTCAAGTGGGATAACCAAAAAAAGATACTCTGATCTGGTTCTTTTTTACTTTATCTATAGATGGCTACTCAAATAAAATGTCCAGAAGATGTACAGAAATAGCTTATATTGTCCTATCATTGTATAACATTACATATAGCAAAGGCATTAGCTGTGTGCTCATAATCCTTGCTCTGATTCTTTGAACCATGGTGTGTTCACGATTCTCCCAATGGGCAGGTTGGAGAGGCTGAGTGAAAAAGTTACGGCTGGTGTGGTGTACGATTCTGAGCTGCATAGTCAATCATCATTTGTGAAATCTACATACATATGGGAAAACATTTTTTGGACATGTATGAAAACTAAACACTACACGTGGAATTTCCAAATATGGTGATGTATCAGATTTTTGTAAAGATTACGCAAAATAATTATGCAAACTCCAGCAGTCATCTGCCTTCATGGTGGACTGACATGTTTTTTAACAATCTAGACATTTTAACATTGTACATTAACAAAACTTCTAATTGATCAAATTTATTTTATTTATTGCCATTATTGTTGCCTAAAGCATCAATTAACGTGTGGATAAAGTAGTAAAGCTTGCCAGGCATAAATTTCAAGATGTTTATAAATAACTTTATGCAATGGAGTTGCATTAATAATCTTTTCATTCAAAAGAGATCACAAGTATTATCGAAACCTTAAGGATTTGGAGAGGATCTGCAGGAGGAGTGGACCAAAATCCCTCCTGAGATGCGTGGTGACCAACTACAAGAAACGTGTGACCTCTGCATGCCAACAACGGTTTCTCCATCAAGTACTGAGTCATGTTTTGCTAGGGGATCAAATACTTATTTCACACAATCAAATGCAAATCAATTTATAACTTTTATGATGTGATTTTCTGGATTTTCTTTTAATATTCTGTCTCTCACTGTTAAAATAAACCTACCATTACAATTATAGACCGTTCATTTCTTTATAGGTGGGCAAACTTACAAAATCGGCAAGGGATCAAATAATGATTTCCTTCACTGTATATTTGTGAGAAATGATCGACAGAGCCCAGTGAAGAAAAAAGTATTTGATGTGAGGAGATACTGTATCTTTATACATCCATGTGAGATACAGAGCTAACATGTTACGGTGGAAAATAGATCTGAAACAGTAGTTAGGTGATTATTTCTGGTAAAATGACACTTGATAAACATACAAAAGTGATCATATTGATGGTATATTGATTAGTGTAGGAGCTGTGCCTATGTTACCATGACTATATAATGTCAGACCAGTTACACCTGAGGCAGCATGTCAACAGAATTGAAGGTGGAATTGATAATCTTATACAAACGTTTTTTCTTGTTAGACAGTTATTGCCATATTTATGCTGTGAAATTGGCAAAGCTTCAGCTTGTTTGAAAGACTTCCAAGTACTGTAGATCATATTGTATAATTCATATTGTCATGTCTACTCAAATAAAGTTTGACTGAAACAGATAAATGTTTTTTTTTCATATCACCTGTTTAAATAGTGTTATTACATAAAACCTTTGTGAATGAACATGTTATATTTGTCTAATACCACAAGATTGTTAATTGTAAATTTAAAAATGACAACAAACCCTCCTTAAAAATAAAGCTCTTTATTCATAAACTGACATTAAAATATATATTGGGTAACAATAATGCAAAAAGTAGCAAAGCCATAACTTGTATGTAAACTGTCCAGATCATGCGCTCCATCAGTAAAGGGTTTCTTGTAGACTGAAGTTGTGTCAGATGCTGATGGAGCTCTCAGGTCAGTGGTGGTTTCTCATACTGTGTGGAGAGTCTGCTGGGTTCAGGTAAACCTCATCAGACGGGAGCTTCAGGACCGAGCATCAAGACCCTCAGATCACCTGTAAAACATTGCAGATTCACTGTTACATTATACTGTCATGTAATAACATCAAGGTGTATGACAGTAAGTGTGACAGGAGGAAAGGTATAGTTTACTACAGCATCATCATCTTACATGTGTAGTTATGAAAACAGCTACAAACAGAGTAAAAATGATGAATCGGTTTTATCAAGTATGGAGGAATAAATGAATTACACAGAGCATTCGACTAGGATTGTAACTGTAACTGTAAGTGCAAATAGGGACTGAGTGATAATTAGTGAGACCGTGACCGGAGAGACCGAGGCCTGCTGACAGTATTTCAACATGTATGTTACACTGGAACTGCTACAGTGCTGCGACAGGTGTGTCACTAATATTACAGTATCTGTGAATCATAACAATCCTAGTAACTGTACACACTGTTCAGCTGTTCGCTAAGACAGTGTTATTACACTTTTACACAGTGGTGGGCCATCAGGGCCAGCAAAGCCTTCTCTGCTGGCCTAAACAGAATCACAAAGTTATAGCTATTTTATAATTGAATCATTTTTCACAAATACACTACATGTATTATAATTTTTCCATTAGCTTATTTTCTCATTGCACAGCTCCTGTCTTCCTCTGTTGCTCTGCTTCCAGCACAGCTTGTTTTAAGGAGAGCTTATATCCAATCAGATTCAGCCTCTATTTCTCTATGTAAGGAGAGAGGCCCGATGCCCGCTAGAGAGCCTTTGCAGTTTATGTAAATGGGGACGATATTGTTGATCATAGTCTTCAACCAATCAGATCTTTAGTTTGACATGTTGGGCGTATTCTTTGACGTGCCACTGCTACCCAGGTAGCCTGCGATGTACGTCAGTATTAACGTGCAGCGTAATTGGTCAGTGGGAGAGCGCGTGACCAATGTGAAATTTAAGGAAGCTGGCAGAAGTTAGTTGGAGTAGTAAGATTTCAAATTGAAAGATATGGAAGAAATTATAACATTTTTAGGATTTTGCTTGGTGTAGTTTATTTATTTTTATGAACGTGTTCCTGGCTGACAGCGTCGCACATTTTATGGCTGGGAATGTGTTTCATTTTAACTGAGCGTCTTGGTGCCATAGTACAGCAGGACACTACGGTGCTTTTGAAAACTTTTGGAGAAACCCGAGTGGATCTTCAGATCAACGAACACGTTCGCAGGGAAACGGAGCCCCACAACTGCGAACAGCGGCCGGCTGGCAGGCATGCTGGCGGAGGTGGGATCCCGGCCTCGCTGACCGGCGAAATACAACTGGGGAGGCTCGACTGTCACTGGCGTCCATGAATCGAGGACTTCTTACTGGAACTGAAACGATGTACTGGGATTAAACTCTTTGTCAACAAAGAAAGGAGGATGGACTTTGTCTTTAAGTGAACAGCATTCGGTAAGTGACAAACTGCGTTTGTTTTTTTACATCTGCAGTAACGTTACTACTGTTCATTTGTCTATCGTGTCCTTTTTATGAATAATATTTGAATGGCTCGTGCTCTTGTGTGGTGGAATGCGTGGATCCGCTGCAGGTTTGCTGGATTGATGTGTCATGCTTTGTTGTCATATAAATATATGTGACTGGTTCTTATGACTTTGTTTTTGTCATTGTGTTAATTACATTGATTTGACTATGCATTGTCCGTTAATGACGCAGCGTCCCGTCATGCACGGATTCATGTATCTGCACCGTAGCTGTTCAACTGTAGTAGGACAGCACAGAAGGCCCAGGTATCAAAATGCACGGCCCGCCACTGCTTTTACATATTATTTAGCCTGAGACAACATTGAAACTGACAGAAGGATTCACGTTGCAAAGTCTTTAAATTAGCTCTCCGTGGTTGAGAAGCAGCAAGAAGACGTTTACAGACTTTACTAATAATTTCTCCTCCGCTCTGATCCACAGCTGTCTCTTCTGAGCTCATCCACTGCGCCCGCTCTCCCTGCTCGCCCACTCACTAGCTACGGTAATCCTTTTATAGTCAAGAAACGTTCTCCCATACAAGGAGTATGTCTCAGTGAATTGCTGCATAACAAAAGACACAGTGCAAAAGTCTAAAGACATTGTATAAATTAGGTTACTTTAGCTAGTGTCTCTTTCAAGGGAGCAGACCTTCCCAGTATCACAGGCCTGAGCAGCTTCAAGGCAGTCTGGCAAATAAATCTACACACTCAACAGAGCAGCAACGTGCTCACACAGACCGGTGTGGATCACGGAGCAGACGGGCCTTCATGCTAACAAAGCAGCTTAGCTGCATTGCAGTACACAGTTTCACAAAAGGCAACAAAATACAGTTACCCATATCCAACCTACTACTTTCTTTATTTAACTGGCTTCATATGAGGCTAAATGTCCACACAGTCTCTCTGTATTACCTAATGTTACTCCATTACTCCAGCCTGTGGACCTACAATTGAAGCTAGCCGCATTAGCATTGCAGCATGCTAACGTTAACAGACAGTCTGCTAAATACACAGTATATAAATTAACATTAAAGTGGCAAAACTTACAGCTCCAAGTTTGAAGTTGGGTTACAGACAGCGGGTAAAGATCCATCCAGAGATTCAGTTTTGAAGATGTTACTGACCCTCGTTGAGAATGAGTTTTCCTTTTGTTGTGAGGACATTTCAGTAAAAAAAACTAAAATACCTCAAAATAAACTTAATCCACTGAGTGTTCACGTCCTCAGGTGATGGAAGTGTTTCCCGGCTCGGACAGCGCTAGCCGCTATTGGCCTGGCTCAGACGTTTCCGCTGTGATGCACTATCCACTGTCAGTTTCTTCGGCGATCACCATCAAAGTGTAAGTAATATTAATTCATACATAACAAAGAATATACGTGTCAAATTTCATGAATATATATGGATGTTTACATGTCTAAATGCTGTAGGAAAATGACTTTGATGAGAGAAAGCAGAAAGAACACTTGGGTGATGCTTGGGTGATGGTCTTTACTCTGAAGTGTCTCTACATTTTCACCGTACTGCTAATATGAGTTAGCATGTGAGTGTAGTTTGTAGCTAGCTTTACACTACTTTGTCTAGCCAATGAAAATATAGCATTAATGTGTGACATATTCTATAGTCGAGTGGAGGGAAGGAGTATGTCTGAAAAAAAGTTGGGAAAAACCAACAAAGAATCGTAGCTCTAGATAAAGGTAGGCAGCTCTTTGTTTGTTTTTAGCTCTGAAACATAACAGCAGACATAAGTCAAATAAAATGTTTTTCATAAGCCAGGCTACAACCTCTTGCACACGACGCCCCCGAATTTGGGGGCTATCAGGCTCAGCCCCCTGAAAATATTGTTCGGAAAATGCCCTTGTTGTTCGCTAAATATTGTGGATTTGTACATTTTGTTTACCAGATTAAACAGCAACGTATGGGCAACACTATCATATAAGTCACTTCTTACACACTCCAAACACAACTATAGACTACTAATATAAGCATCTAGAAAATGTGGCATAAAAGATGAATTTGTGGCCAAAAATCGCCCTCATATTTAACTGCACATCGATTTTGGACCACAAAGCTAACGGCTACCGAGCTAAGCAATGCATTTTTTAGCAATAACTTTTTTTTCAGGCGAACCTGAATATTTTCAATTTGAGCTGTGTAATATCATATCATGCACTATATTAACCAGCAACATATACACAATATTTACCCATCTGAACAATCTCAAAGTGTTATCTGATTATAGCATCAAAAATTATTAAAATAGACCTTGTAGTTACAGAACTGTGGTCTCCTTAGTATGGGTATGCCATTTTCGAGCAGAGGCCTACAAATAGGGCCCGAGCTTAAGAGGTTTCCAGTTCCTGTTCCTGGCGCCGCAGCGAACTCCAGTGCCTGTTCCTGCCGCCTCAGCGCCGCAGCGAATTCCAGTTCCTGTTCCTGCCGCCTCAGCGCCGCAGCTATCCCCGGACCCCGCCACCGCCTCAGTGCCGCAGCTATCCCCGGACCCGGCCACCGCCGCAGCTATCCCTGGACCCGGCCGCCACCACCTCAGCGCCACAGCTATCCCCGGACCTGGCCGCCGCTGCGCCGCAGCTATCCCGGGACCCGGCCGTTGCCGTCTCAGAGCAGCAGCGACCTCCAGTTCCCACCGCTGCCATCTCAGAGCAGCAGCGACCTCCAGTTCCCGCCTCCGAGCTGCATCGACCTCCAGTTGCCTCCTCCGAGCCGCATCGACCTCCAGTTGCCGCCTCCGAGCCGCATCGACCTCCAGTTCCCGCCGTTGCCGTCTCGGAGCAGAAGCGACCTTCAGTTGCCGTCTCGGAGCAGCAGCGACCTCCAGTTCCCGCCGCTGCCATCTCGGAGCAGCAGCGACCTCCAGTTGCCGTTTCGGAGCCGCAGCAACCTCCAGTTGCCGTCTCGGAGCCGCAGCAACCTCCAGTTCCTGCCGCCGCTGGACCAGCATCCTGTTCCCCGACTCCGAGAGTTCGAGTCCGGCCTGCCTGAGCACCCGTGTCGGAAGCAAGTTCGGCAGTACGGCCATCCGCCTGAGCACCAGTGTCCGGAGCCCTTCTGCCTGTCCGGCCATCTGCCGGAGCACCCGTGTCCGGAGGCTTCTGCAGCCCTGTGGCCAGTCACATCCAGTTGACTTGTCCTGTGGACAGGCACAGAACCGGAGACCTTTGAAAACGATGACGTAGACACTCACGTTCGCAACTTGATTGGGTCTTTGCAGTCGTGACGTGTCCTTCCCTGATTTGTCATGCCGCCGGAAGGAAACAAACAACAACAGCCTTAATTATCGACTACCTGGGGTTGATTCAATATGGATAATGGCGTTGCTGACCTTGTTGTCTATACTAGCAGCTTTAAATTCTGTATTTTGTAATGCTACTACAGCCGACATGTGGAGGAAGTAGCTGTTATTGGAGTGGCGTGACTAGCGGCGTTATCAGCCCTATGGAGCAGACATCTGAAGTCACGGTTAGTGGCTTTGAGGAGGACGGGCACAAAACGGAGGACTTTCTGTTTCTCGTTAATGCGTATTTTCTTCTGCACAACTATTGTGAAGTTCACAATAAAACGAGTACGAGAACAGACAACGAAACCGAAGGGAATTGAGTGAGAGACCTGTGTTGATCAAATTTCTTGACCCATAATCTAGTAAAACTTTGATTTGTAAGTAAATTTGATGTGTGAGAGAGAGCAAGACATGCAGCCTTGTAACTAAGTTTGAAAAATATAACAGGTTTTTTTCACTAAATTTTTCTCTTTGAGTCTACAGAGGAAGATTATATAGTTAGATATTTAGTATCAAGCCCGACCTTTTATTATAAAAGAGTAAAATACTACTCTTTCCGTATATTCTGTAACTAAGCAACCAATCTACTTCCTGTTTACCCGCATGCCCAGTGTACGTGAATAGTCATGTGATGTTCATTTTCTGGCTTCTGAGTCTGGACGGAAATCTATTCTAAAACGATGCTGAAACGCCTGTGTGGACGTAGATCATTTTCATTTTAAAACCATGTTTCAAAACAGAAATGTATTAGTGTGGATGTAGCCTGACATCCACAAAAGAAAAAAGAAAACCCAGCAATTACATTGTGTGTGTCTAAGTGGAAACAGAATTTGTCTTCAAGGAGAGTTAAAAATGATGGAGGTGAAACTCAGCAGAGTAACTGATGACAGAACTATGTCTGACTTCAAGTCAGTGGACCAAGAGACAAACACAAAATCTAACGAACAACATAGAAACATCCACTGTGCTATAGATATGAAACCCCTCCTCACCAACATCATTACATGAGTCCTCATTAGATGAGTCCCACGTTCAGCAAACACTAAAACAAGAATAGTTTACATCCATGTCTGTCCAAAATGTCATCACTTTATCCTATTAGACATGTGTGTGAAAGTTTCATAATTCGCATTTCATAATTCGAATTTCCTTGGAGATGTAATGTAATTTGTATATAACTCACAAAATCAATTTGTACGCAATCCACATAATGGTGAGCCAGGAAAGGTGAAGTAGTATCAAGAGCAACAAAGTAGGGAGGAAGACTTTCCCCAGGAGGCCGCTGTTCAGATCCGTGTGAAATCAGCGTGTCATGCAACTTACATACTTAAGTAATGCTATTTCTGTAATTATTTGAACCCTAAACCTAACCAATCGTAAGATATCAACCAATCAAATGTATTCATAAACGACCCACACTGATCAAAGAGCTGTACAGACCAGGGCAGAAACATCACTGCAAACAGCTCATATTTCAGCTTTGTACGAACTGTTGGATGAGGACACGTTGAATATACTTTATAGATTTCCCCATACCAACTTAATTAGTGGGGATCACTGTTTCTTGACTTTTATTGACAAACCCAGAAGATCATAGCAGATCACACGTGGTAGCAGTGTGTTACTATATTCAGCAACACAATGTGAGCACAATACAAAGTAAAATAATAAAGGTCTTACACCTTGATTTTGACACAGCACAAGATAAGCAATAATACAGCATCCACTTACGTTGATCTTGTTTGCAAATGGTGTAAATTCCTTAACCAATGTACAATCTTGAGGCCCCTGGGTTCCTGTGATGCTGCCAAGTTGGTAATCCAGCCTTGGTAGTGGCAGTGGCATTTATAATAGTACCAGTCATTTAATGTGAAACTGTTGCAACAGTAGTGGTAAATAACATTTCAGCAAAAGAAATGTGGATCGTACAAGAGTTAAACACTAGTAGCTAGGGGTGGGAATCACCAGAGGTCCCACGATACTTAAGTCACGATACGATATTATCACGATACTGCGATATGCTGAGTATTGCGATAACATATATTGCGATTCATTACCTTTTTTCAACTGCAATGTCATCACTTTATCCTATTAGACATTATGTCCCCAAAGGAAAACTTTGTCAACATGTTTTATCTAATAAGATAAAAGTTTTCAGTCTGTTCATCTCACTTCACAATCATTTTTATTGCAGCAAAATGGGATTGTCCCGCAGACAGACTGACCAACACTGTCATAAAAACCTGTCATAAATGTTGCATGCACCTGACAAACTGAACTGTTTGTATTACAGTCTCTACATAGTCCAACTTAGCTGAATGCAAACGTGTGTGGACTCAATATGAACTATAACTTCTATAAGTACAATGTAAGAGTTATATAACTCAGTATAACTTGCGATGCGTGGACGTCAAGGGCAGAGAGACAGTTATGCGCCGCTCTCTCCCCATGAGCCTGGCTACTGTTGGCAGATTTAACGCCCGTTGTGAGGCCAGATTGAGCGTGTGAGCGAAACACTTCACATACAGGTATCCCGCTAACTGAATGGCAAAGCCCATGTTAGAAGCGGTGTCGGTTACACCACCAGCCACCAGGTTTTTGTCGGCAATCCCCTATTCTTGTGCTGCATTTTGCAGGAGGTCTGTAATGTTTGCCCTGGTGCGACTTACGTGTACTGCTCTAGTTTGGAGAACGAGAGACAGCAGTCGCCAGTCCTCTGTGAGATATTGTGCTGTTATAGTCACTGCCCTTGATGTCCACGCATCGCAAATTAATGCAACACTTTCTGCTGTACTCAAAGACTCCTCAACTTTAAGCTTCACTTATCTGTAGAGCTTGGGCACGGCTGTGTCTGTGAAAAAATGCTGCGACGGTGTCATATCCATGTCCTTCTTCTCTTCCTTGTTAAACAATTCAAAATAAGTCCAGATGTTTGATTTAAACGCGGACGCCGCATTTCTGATTTCTTTCTCCGATGTCTCCATCTTTGTTTTGACCAACTTCCTACCAATCACGCTGACCCGAGACCTCTGCTGACCTCACCAGAAAAAAACTCAGCACCATCTTGTGGAATGAAAAAGCAATTGATTTTATTATTCTAGCACCAAAGAGTTTAAATGAAAGATCGATACTTGGCTTCCGTGTATCGATACAATATTGCGATAATATGCTGTATCGATTTTTCCCCCACCCCTACCCCTGTGTAGTATTGCACAGCAATACTACTTCAAAAGTACAGACAGCAGCAGTAGTGATAAGTAGTGATAGCTGTGGTATTAATAAAAGGACTAACAGGGGTAGTGATCAGTAGTAACAGTAACAATAGTAAAAGCAGACATAACAACTGTCATATCAGCAGAGAGTTGAGTATTAGTTTAATGTTTCAGTCATTTCATCTTGACAAAAGTAAGTTCTTGAGAGAAACCTGAATATGTCAACGTTTTGTCATTTATTGGACCACAGTGGTCATAATTAAAAATGATGACAGAAATATCAATCGAACACCAACATCAGCTGAAAAGTGACCGTCACACTGTACACCACCTCTCCTCTCATAACTCACAGTAAAACAGATGCCCCCCTTTCTTTAAACTACACTTTAGGAATTTAGATGTGCATATGGCACCAGTAGGTGTGTATAATACAAGAGGGTCAAAAGTCTGTTTCCAAACAGATAGATGCGTCACGTGTCACAGCTAACCAAAGAGAGGAATACGGTGGGCAGCTAATGGCACAATGGAGGAACGCTTTCTGTCAAGTCCCCGCATAGCACACAAGCTGACTAAGGTCAGTAGAGGTGATCTCCTGTCAGCAGGTCCCAGCTAACAACCGTGTTATTGCAACGGCCTGGTACCGTCTATGTGCTGCAGCTCTCCACCCTCCACTGCCTGCTGCTGATAGGAATCACACCGCTGTCTACCCTATTCTGCAGCGAGGACTAGTTGAAATGGTTTGAGTGCAGACATTAGTCAGTCTGGGTTTCCTTCATACACACTGCATCAATAAATCAACACAGTTCCATGTGGGGCAGGCTCTGCTACAGCAGCGACCAGCGGATTTTACCTGAGCCACAGCGAGAGGAGAAAACATGATGTTGATGAATCACAATCGCACCAGGCTTTCCGTTAACGGAAACATCCCGAGGCTCGCCGTTAGTTCCTGCACATTCCTACGTGCTCTTCCCGCTGAGTCGGTTCGGCAGCTGTACCTCCGGGTTAGAGAAAACGCTGCATTTCCTGGACTGCTCCGCTGGGTTTTGAACGATCCAAATATGAGAGCCCCGGTCGCCTCGGATGACTCTGCCGCGTTAACTCCAGAAATGATGACACGCCAGAAAAGTTGAGTCTCCGGAAAAATGCTCCGCCGGGAGAAAAACACCGAAAAAGTTCGGAATAGTCATTCTGTGGAGAGAACGGGGGACGGCGTCATTTCGAGAGGGAAGGAGATGAGGGGGCGAAGAATAAAAGAAGGTGAAATGACGTTATGAATTGAGCCCATCCCAAACGGGCTTAAAGCCGCAGCAGCAGCTGCTGTGCCTCCCGACACACAGGCCTCTGACGCTCCCTTCATCTCAGCATCCGTCTGCTGGCCTTCACGCGATCACTATCTGTGTTCAAGACGAGCCCAAGGTGAACACAGAGAGGTGAACACATCGGCCTCATCCCACACAGCAAGCAGCGGAGGGTTATGATGTACATCCAAAAATCAGCTGCAATGTAACTAAATACACTCACTCAAGTACTGTACTTGACAACACATTTGAGGTAGCAGCTACTTTATACTTCTACTCCATGGGGATACATCTTAGAGAAAAATAGTACTTGATATAATTGGGGTGTAACGGTTCACAAAATTCTCGGTTCGGTTCAATACGACGCAGAAATGCCAAATCCTGGATGGTGAGACTCTCAAGGGGGCGTGTCTGAAGAACATGGCTCTACATCTCCATTCAGTAGTGAGGTAATGTGTTGTTACAGTCACGCAGCTTTGTGTCTGAAGAACATGGGTCTTCATCTCCATTCAGTAGTGAGGTAATGTGTTGTTACAGTCAGGTAGCTTTGTGTCTGAAGAACATGGCTCTTCATCTCCATTCAGTAGTGAGCTAATGTTTCGTTACAGTCAGGTAGCTTTGTGTAGTCTGTGACGTCCGGCCGTCTGTTGTCAGAGCAACAGCGGGAGCCACTACATTTAATTCTCTGTTTGGGCTTTTGTTTTCTTTTATAAAGTAGGAATTATGGTCTGGCGAAATGGGCTCGTGTAGAAGTAGGGTCTGACATCCGCGGCTATAAATATACCTTTTGCCCTGTGTGAATCAGTAGGGAATAGCTACCTAAACGCTTCGGGATAGTTTGTAGTGTGTGTGCTGCTGTTGCTAAGCTAGTTTAGCATAGCGCGCCTTTCCCCTCACATTACATTACATTACAGTAATTTAGCAGACATAGAAAGCAGAAAGCGATTTACATTTCTACACCGTAGGCTACGGGAGCAAATTTGGGGTTAAGTGTCTTGGTCAAGGACACATAGATATGCGACTAGCGGAGCCGGGGATGGAACTGTCGATCCTCTGATTGAAGGACGCCACTTAGCCACAGTCGCCTCACCAGAGTAGAATGTTTTTGTTACGTGGTGGGAGTGTCAGACAGTACGTTGTCTGTTACGCCGGGTGGTTTGCCTTGTTGAGCACATTATATTTCCCACAATTTAAGCCTCTGCATTTTCCAAATGCAATAGTATTATTCAAACGTATTGTTCGGTTCGTAATGCGAACTGAGCTGTGAGTCTCGTACCGAACGGTTCAATATGAATATGTGTATTGTTACACCCCTAATATACAGTATATATATATATTTATATATATTTTCAACTTGTAATGCCACTTAACATATCAATATTTTACATCTAAAATATAAATATCTTATATAGTATGACACATTGTTAACTGCTCAACACTACGTAAAATATTTCATATTAGCTACACCTCCACCAAAATGCTACTTATACATTAATACAGTCAGAATAATCTGTAGAACAATGGAATGCATGTTTCTGCTCGGAATACTTTAAGTACATGTTGCTAATAATACTCGTGCACTTTTCACGTTATTTCTCAACCCAGGACTTTTACTTGTAAAATAGAGTATTTTTACGGAGCGGTACTTTTACTTAAATGCTATGAATAGTTCCTCCTTCACTGCTAAAAACAATTATTGTCATGATTGTAATTGAGATACAACTTCAATATATATAATGCAGCTGACATGTCACTAAGGTACATTATGGACATGCCCAATAAATAGGCTTGGTTGATATATATCCGTATGCTATTCTATTAAAATGAATTGTATTTCATTATTCAGACCAAAGCACCAATGTGCACGTTACTAAAGTTCCCTGAAAAAAAAATAATATGGAAATATGAAATCAAAGTCTCCTGAAATCGTTTGGAAAACACAATTTAAAATAGAAACCTATTTAATTGGTTCATTTATATATTTATATAAATGTACAATTATTTATATATTTATTGCCTCATTTATTTATTTCATAGCCATATTTTTTGTCATAGGCGTATTTATATAAGTCTGAGAGGAGGTCTCTAGAGTACTTTGCCTACTTTGGACAGATTTTGTCAAAGTGTTAGGGTCACAACTGCTTGAGTCCCAAAACATTACAGGTGTTAAGTTTAGAACAAAATGATGGCCAGGTTCAAAGATGGGTGCCAGAAGTAGGGGGTGAGGAAGCGGCCATTGGCCCCCACTTTATGCCCCTTACTCGATTTGACGTCATGGCTGGTGCGATTGCAGATCGTCCAGGTGGTCTCTAGTAAAATGTTTTTGTCTCTACACTTATAAACGGTTGCACTGATTATACTTCCTTGTTTTTTAAAAACAACAATGTTTTACTTTGAAGTCTTTTGACCTGTTAGCCTATTGTTGTTGCTAGAAATAAGTTGTATAATATACAGTTCTCTAACCCTTCAACTGGAGCAGCATTCAATTTTAGCTTCAATGAAATGTAGGCCTAATCTGTGTCCTGTTTCTTCTGATAGAGCCCGTGGTGATGGAGGGGCAACATTTGGCTGCTCTCTTTTCTACAGTGGCATCTGCAGTTGTCTAGTGGTTCACTTCCACAACTGCAGCTGTGTTTATGCCGAGGCAGGAGGCCCTATGTCGGCCTGCCATTCTAACTCAGCCCGCTGGCTCTTACTGCGGCCATTTTCTGCTGATTAACACACACACACACACACTGGGAGAAGGATCGAGCTGAACTTTAACTTGGCCTCCGCCGTTCTGCGGGGGGGACGGAGCCAATGCAGACAGGCCTGTCGCTGCACGCTCTAAGACATACGCCAGAGAGTCGACACCTTTCACTCGCGACAGCACGCGCTGATATACACGCACACCAAATCATGTTGTCCAGTAACTAAAGCGCCGCCAGTGGTCGGAAGCCAGATGTGCCAGTGTCACGCCAGTACGCCCGCTCTTCCGCAAGGAGGCGACGTTGCTCCAAACTGCATTCAAAACTGTAGGAATTTAAAATGGACTTGTTAAATGTCTGACATGCTTGTCGCCTCGTGTGTGACATTAAATAATCTCCTTTTAGATGGTCTTTGGCCAAATTCGGCCTTTATTAAATGCTAAAAAATGGCTTAATGGCAACAAAATATGAACTTTTATAATCGTGTCACACTGCTGGCTTCCGCCCAGCACAGTGTGTGACGAAATGACGAATCGATTCTAAGAGTTAAGATTTTGATAAAGTATGAGGTGTTTCGTTAATCGTATGTTTGCCGAATGGAAGAGTGTATCCTGACAATTCAACATTGTTTTAAAGTTGTGTTGTGCAAGGTGTGCATATTTGCCTGGGTGCCAGGGATATTTTAATTGCCAGATTTTTGAATGAAATTCAGCGGCAGATTCTCTCCATTGACAAGCGTCACTTATCGGACTATAGTATTCGGACGCGGCTATAAACTTGAAGACGGAGGTAAATAGAGAAAGCGGCTTGCTGTAATAGAGAGGGATGTAACCATTGCCGCTTTCTGCACCACTTTATGCTGCGTAGCATAATGTTACTCGCTCAACTCCTCGCATTGCGTCTTTTTTTGGAAAGCACGAAACATCACACCAATAGGAAGGAGCACTCTACTACATTATTGTACCGGAACAGGTTTTGTCCTACCATTTCGAAGCTGAGCCGCCACCGGGGGAAGTTAAAGCTGATCTCAACGCCTGCCCATCTCACGCTATCGGTCGTTATCATTCCATATTCATTTCTATCATCATGCACGTGCCAGATGGAGTAAAGCCGCGGCGCTCGGGACCAGAAACGTCCCGCGTCAAGCTTCAGGCTCCACGGCAGTTACCCCCGCCCGGCAGGTTGCGGCAGAATAGAAGAGTGCTATATTCACTGTCTACTTCTTTCCAGCTCGCTCTCTCTCTCTCTGGCTCAGTCTTTCTCTAATCCTGTTCTCCTCTAACAGGCCTACTGCCTCTTTCTACTCCAGGCATATTGATCCTCACCTTTCCCCACTCACTTACTTACCTATGTCTTCCTTACTGTCTCTCCCCTCTTTCATTTAGGGCTGCAGCTAAGGACTATTTTGAGCAATTAATTAATCAACAAATCTGTAGATTACTTTGATTAATTAATTATTGATTGGATAAAAAGCTGATTTTTAAGCCATAGTTGCCATGAACTGAACAAACTCCATCTGCTGAGGAAACCACAAGATGCAGTTTAAAGCTAGTAAGCAGTTACAATACAATTTTTGTTAAACTAAGGTTCTGAGGGGTTAGGAAGAGATGCGCTGATTGGACGGGTCACTAGAGGTAATGGACTTGTGCAGGTAACATTCAGTTGGCTTTTGTTTATTTCCAGGGGTGGAAGTAACTACATTTACTGTCATTATGAAGTCTGTTTTTTTTTTGTGTGTGTGTGTGTGTGTGTGTGTGTGTGTGTGTGTGTGTGTGTGTGTGTGTGTGTGTGTATTTGTATTTTTAAAAATGATAGAGTACTTTTTTATCACACGTATTGTACTTGTGATAAAACATAAGTCACAGGAAAATGTCCTGATAAACTGTGAGAATGGAACAAAAGAAAAGAGATGAATCAGCATCTAGTCCGTCTGCGGCCGTAGAGCTCCAGAGAGGAGACATTCTAGAAAAGTTACATGTTGAGTGAGTTTGTGAACAGCACAACAAAGCAATAAAATAACGCATGATGATCATTATGGGTGAAGGTTAGCATTACTGTATCTTGTCATAGGTAAAAGAAAACTACTGTGTTGCCTAGCAGCGCAGTGTGTGTGTGCTGGTGCGGCGCTCTCTTATACATTTCCTTGTTTTATTCCTTGGTGAAGATTTATTCTACCAGTAATTCTATAAGAAGTGGCAGTTTATGTTTCATGTACTTGATTTAGTCGTTCATTTTGTTTTGTCGGGTGGACTGAGTTGTTTGGCATGTTGACGTGAAAACAGCTGTTTGTCCATTAAAGGGTACTCAACCAATGCGCAGCAGGGCAACTATACATAGCCAATCAGGCCAGGGGCGGGACTAAGGCTGCTGTCCCCTGTGGACCGAGGAGTAGTAATAATGACAATGGAGATGCAGTGCAGATGAAACTGACACTGCTGTCAAGGCTGTTCTATCTAGATTGAAATAGCAAACACCACTCTGCTCTGATGTCTGGAAACATTTAGTATATTCCTCTGCTGTTCTACTACTAGATGCCGGCTTGAGACTCTGGCACAGCTTTTTCTTCTGTGGTGTCTTTGTTGGCGTATCACAGTCCCTCTTCTCTACTCTTCTTAGTCTTCTTCATTTGGGTCTGTAACCGTAACATTAAGCTCAAACTGCCATGGCTTTACAACAAATTGTAAATCTTCAACCCAACAAGTAATAGAATAGATGCCGTGTCTATTTGGGAGAATTATCGCGTCATCTCTCCTTTACTCAGTAGTGATTGGTTAGCAAAGATCAATGAATTAAGACTCAGGCTGACCCAGCAAGGGGGATCAGAGACTGTTGTGCACACATCTTTACCGAAACCTGGCTTCATCATAACGTCCCAGATCAAGCTATTGCACTTGACGTGCGGACTGTATACCATGCCAACAGAACGTAGGACTGGTAAGAAGAGGGGAGGTGGACTGTGTGTAAACATCAATGATGCTTGGTGCTCAAACTTAGTCAAAGTTGATGGACAATGTTTCCCTGATGTCTCATTTTTAATGCTAAGATGACAGCCATATTATCTGCACAGAGAATTCACCAGTGTTTTTGTTGCTGCTGTTTACATTCCTCCGTATGCAAGTTCAAAAAATGCACGGCAGGAATTGTATGAGGTCATCAGCAGACACATGACAAACAACCGGATGGTACTTTTATTTTAGCTGGTGATTTTAATAAAACAAACCTCAGCTCTGTTTTACCTAAATTCCATCAGCATATCTACATCGCCACCAGAGGAAATAATACACAAGACCATGTCTACACAGGTATTCCTGGCAGCTACAAAGAGCTCTCCCCCGCCCCCACTTTGGACAATCAGGTCATATTTCCCTGCTCCTGCTGTCTCCATACGCCAGCTAATTAAATGGGCGAAACCATCAGAAAGAACAGTTAAAGTGTGGACAGATGAAGCTACAGCTGCTCTAAAGGACTGTTTTAAATGTACAGACTGGCACATGTTCAGGGATGCTGCCACCCAAGAGAATGACATCAATCTGGAAGAATATACATTAACAGTGACATATCAGCAAATGTGTTGATGATGTGGCGATCATAAAGACAATAAAATCATTACCTTTGCCTGGATGAATGGAGAGGTGATGGCACTATCCAAAGTAAAAAAAGCTGCCTTTCAGTTAGGTGACAAGGAAGCATACAGCATCGCCAGATCAAGACTGAAAGCTGGCATCAAGGAGGCAAAGAGGAGACGTCAAGAGAGACTGGTGAGAGACCTCAACACCAACAACACTAAAGATACGTGGCAGACGATCCAGAATGTCACAGGCTATAAAAGCAGGAGCGCCCCCATCATGTGTGAGGCCACATTGTCAAATGAGCAGAACACCTTTTATGCTCGCTTTGATCTCCTCAACAAAGAGTCAGCGGTCAAGTCTTAAGTCACTGTCAGTATCCACAGGCCCTGTCCACATTACTCCGTTTTTACTTGGATGCAGAGTTGTCAAATAGAACCGATCTCCGTCCACACAGGAGTTTCAGCATCATTCTCGAGTTGATCTGCATCCACACGGCAGCCTTCGAAGGCGGACAGCACATGACCATTAACGTACACTGGGCATGCGCGTGACGGTGTAAACAGGAAGTGGATTGCTTGCTTAGTTAAAAAAGAAATACGACAGAGTAATAAAGTAGTCTTTAATAATGAAAGGTTGTATTTGATACTTAAGATCTTCCTCTAAAATCTCCCTCTATAAACTCAAACAGACACAGTTCGTGGAAAGTTTTAGAAGTTTTATTTTTCAGACGTAGTTACAGCGCTGCGGGTCTATCTCTCTCTCTCTCTCACATCAAATTTACTTTAACATCAACACTTACACGTAAACGTTTACTAGATTATGGGTCCATCAATGTGGTCAACACACGTCTCTCACTCGTTTCCTCCGTGTTGTTGGTGTCTGTTCTCACTAGTAGCTCTGAACTTCATGTCCGCCTAGCTAGCTTCTAAGCTAATTTTAACATTACCGCCAATAGAGAAATGCTAACCGCGATTAGCATTTAATACAACACAAATGTTATAATAAACACGCGAATAGAATATATCTACGTACATCTTTTCATGCTTCATAAAGACATACTTACAGACTAAGGTCTCTAAAGGCTACCAAACTGAAGAAGTAAAACGTTAGTGCAGTGTGTCTTCTCATTAGAATCTAAAAACAAGGAGCTGCTCCATAGGGCTGATGCTGGTCACGCCGCTTGCTAATCACTCCAATAACAGCTGCTTCCTCCACAGAAATGCAGACTTTTACTGCACAACAGCTGCTAGCTGCTGCTAGCTGTTGTGCTAGCAGCAACATCATGTAGCTGTTGTGCTAGCAGCAACGCTTGCAAGTAGTTATCCATGTTGAAATGAATCGCTGGTAGCCCAGTTTGTTTTCTTCCGGGTATGGGTCACGTGATAGTGAGTGTGACGAATCAGGGACGGAGACGTCATGGTTGCCAAGAACCAATCCAGTAGCGAACACGGGTGTGGGCATAATTTTTTCTCAGCACATCCGTATCCGACCGTCCACATGCAAACGCAACCCCGGAGTTCACAAACACCTCCAACCTCGGGGGAGTTTTCAGACTCCTCCGTTTAGGGTGCTCCAAAACTCCAGCGTAGTGTGGCCGCTCAGTGTAAACGTAGCAAAAACGGAGTAGTATGGACATGGCCACAGAGGATGCGAGGAAAACCCTGATGAGGGTGAATATGAGTAAAGCTGCTGGGCCTGATAACATCCCTGGTCGTGTACTAAAAACATGTACCAACCAGCTAACTGACATGACATTTTCAATATATCACTGTCATAGGAGTGTTCCCACCTGCTTCAAGACAGCCACCATCGTTCCTGTACCTAAAAAGTCTGTGGCACTCACCCCTTTTCAGACCAAGTGCTTTGAGAAACTGGTTCTCCAGCACATCAAAAACAACATGCCAGCCAGCCGGGACCTTCACTAGTTTGCATACAGAGCCAACAGATCCACAGAGGATGCCGTCTCCACTGCTCTCCACTCAGCCCTCACTCATCTTACAAATAACAACACCTACATCAGAATGTTGTTTGTTGATTTCAGCTCAACCTTCGACCCAATATCCCCCATGAAACTGATTAGTAAACGTGGCACTTTGGGCTTGAGTACCTCACTCTGTAACTTGTCATTAGACTTCCTCACAAAGAGACCCCAGCACCTCCACTCTAGTGTTGAACACTGGAGCCCCCCATGGCTGTGTGCTCAGCCCCCTCCTGTTCACACTGTACAACCACAACTGCTACTCCAAACATGAACAGAACTCTGTTGTGAAGTTTGCTGATGACATAAACTACAATGAGACTTGATATAGAGAGGCAATCAACAATCTTGGAGAGTGGAACAACCGACTGCTCAACATCAATAAAACCAAGGAGCTGATTGACTTTAGAAAATAGGAGGTGAAGACACACAGACTTGTCTACATCAATGGAGTTTAGGTGGAGCCAGTTAGCAGCTTCAAGTTCCTGGGAATCATCATCACAAACAACCTGTCATGCTCATCATACATCTCCATCCTGGTGAAGAAAGCTCAGAAACGGCTGTATTTCTTTAGGACATTTAAGACGGCTAAATTCCTGTGCCAAGTTATTGTTATTATTGAGGTGCAATAGTAAGCATCCTGACTGCAAACATTACAAACTGTCATGGGATCTTCACGGTCCAGGACAGGAGGGCTCTACAGCGGGGGATTAAAACCACCCAGACCATCTACTGAGCATCAGTGATATTGGTGAGAAGAGGAGCCTTCGAAGAGTTAAGGGGATAATAAAAGACAAAACCCCAGACACATCCTGTTCACCTGCTGCCGTCTGGAAAGAGATACAGAAGAATCAGCTGCCGAACCACCAGACTTCAAAGCAGCTTCTTTCCTCTGTGAGACTCCTTAATTCATTCTCCACCCTCCATTTATAATATAGTTTTTTCTTATGTAGCAAATTGGGACTACAATCTAAACTTTGTTGTGCAACGCTGTCGTACAATGACAAATAAAATAAAAACTTGTAATGTCAAACTTAAGCTATAAGTTTTGCCATTTTTATGTAATTTTGGTTACTGTATATTTATAGTTATACTGTTTGCCTATTAATATTAGCATGTTGCGCTGCTAATGCGACTAGCTTCAATTGTAGGTCCACAGGCTGGAGTAATGGAGTAACATTAGGTAATACAGAGAGACTGTGTGGACATTTAGCCTCATATAAGCCAGTAAAGACAGTAGGCGGGTAGGTTGGATGTGGGTAACTGTTTTTTTTTTTTCCTTGTTGCCTTTTGTGAAACTGTGTACTGCAATGCAGCTAAGCTGCTTTGTTAGCATGAAGGCCCGTCTGCTCCGTGATCCACACCAGTCTGTGTGAGCACGTTGCTGCTCTGTTGAGTGTAGATTTATTTGCCAGACTGCCTTGAAGCTGCTCAGGCCGGTGATACTGGGAAGCTCTGCTCCCTCGAAAGAGACACTAGCTAAAATAACCTAATTTATACTATGTATTTAGACTTTTGCATTGTGTCTTTTGTTGTGCAGCAATTCACTGAGACATACTCCTTGTATGGGCGAACGTTTCTTGACTATAAAAGGATTACCATAGCTAGTGAGTGGGCGAGCAGGGAGAGCTGGCGCAGTGGATGAGCTCAGAGGAGACAGCTGTGGATCAGAGCGGAGGAGAAATTATTAGTAAAGTCTGTAAACGTCTTCTTGCTGCTTCTCAACCACGGAGAGCTAATTTAAAGACTTTGCAACGTGAATCCTTCTGTCAGTTTCAATGTTGTCTCAGGCTAAATAATATGTAAAAGTGTAATAACACTGTCTGTAGCGACCAGCTGAACAGTGTGTACAGTTACTAGTGTAACCAAGTGGAACTGACGGGGTGAAACTATTGGTTCCGCCGGACCGGTAATGGGGTGCACGGGCCCTGATTAGCTAAAAAGATGCACCTGCTGGCAAATCGCGGGCTTTGTCGTTCTCTCCGGTGTCACGAGCGGGTGTGCTGAGTCTGCTCTCTGTCTTCCCCGCCACGAGTGGGGGTGCCGAGTCCAACTACTTGCTCTCCCGCAACAAGCGGGGACATAGCGTGAGGCCGCATGAGAAGTTGCGTCGGTAGCGCAGTGTCTGGGAGGCATCCGTTACGGAGGGGACAGCGTGTGTTTGGGGGATGGCTGATTCGGGTAAATATATTTAGAGTGGAGGGGTTTTTCTTTATGTATGTCGTATGCTGGGGAAATTGGGTATATTTCAGAAAGATGTAATGTTGTATTTGTGTTTTTTTAGAGCTTCCTGAGCAGTGCACCCAATGGTAGCTGGGGGGGAATCCAAGTGGGGGTGGCTGGGTTGCTGAACATTCGGTGGGTTGAATTACAATCTTTTTGGGTTTGTTTTCTGTTTATTGGCAGTTGTTTGTGATTACTTATGTTTTCGTTTTCATTTCTTTTCTAGTTAGTGAGACGCTGCCTTGGTCTTTTGTTTTGTTTCTGTTGCTTTAAATTGTTTGTGATGCCGATCTGAGCGCATGGTCTGTGAACTCCTCCTGCCCGCTAAACCCGCTGTCACTGGTTGCTCCACACAGTTAGATTTGTACCAATAAAAGAGTTATATTTTGATAGCACTGCTTCCTGTGTGTACGTGCCTTTACGGTGTTTGAACCGGGTTTCTGTGGTAACTGGGTGCTACACTAGGATCGTTATGATTCACAGATACTGTAATATTAGTGACACACCTGTCGCAGCACCGTAGCAGTTCCAGTGTAACATGCATGTTGAAATACTGTCAGCAGCCCTCGGTCTCTCCGGTCACGGTCTCACTAATTATCACTCAGTCCCTCTTTGCACTTACAGTTACAATCCTAGTCGAATGCTCTGTGTAATTCATTTATTCCTCCATACTTGATAAAACTGATTCATCATTTTTACTCCGTTTGTAGCTGTTTTCATAACTACACATGTAAGATGATGATGCTGTAGTAAACTATACCTTTCCTCCTGTCACATTACTGTCATACACCTTGATGTTATTACATGACAGTATAATGTAACAGTGAATCTGCAATGTTTTACAGGTGATCTGAGGGTCTTGATGCTCGGTCCTGAAGCTCCCGTCTGATGAGGTTTACCTGAACCCAGCAGACTCTCCACACAGTATGAGAAACCACCACTGACCTGAGAGCTCCATCAGCATCTGACACAACTTCAGTCTACAAGAAACCCTTTACTGATGGAGTGCATGATCTGGACAGTTTACATACAAGTTATGGCTTTGCGACTTTTTGCATTATTGTTACCCAATATATATTTTAATGTCAGTTTATGACTAAAGAGCTTTATCTTTAAGGAGGGTTTTTGTAATTTGTTAATTACAATTAATGATCTTGTGGTATTAAAAAAATAGACCGTGTTCTCTCGCAAAGGTTTTATGTAACAACACTGTTTAAACGTGATATAAAAATAGGTATTTGATTTCATGCATGCAGAGGGGTGTATATATACCTGGTCCATTTAACACCTAGACTATGAAAATATAATCCTTTACTACAGGTAATAAATACTGACTGTGAGCAATGCAAAGCATTCAGTCAAACTTTAGACAGCAGACAGATGACAATATGAATGTTACAATATTCTCTACAGTATTTTTAAAGTGTTTCAAACATAATCTGAAGCTTTTACAATTTCACAGAATGAATATGGCAATAACTGTCAGACAAGAAAAAAACTCACAAATGCCTTGTGTTAGGGTAAATGCCAAAGCAACTCGCCAGCAGGGTGGCCAACAGAACCAGTTGGGTGAAGTTAGAACCAAGGTCACTTCCAGAACCAAACCAAAGCAACAGAATACCTCTCCAACAATGAGGGAAATTCGGTTTGAGTGCAACCCCAAGCAAGAAGTATAACGTAAGGTCCAAAACCACCTCGGTCCCCCATCAGCTGGCCTACCCTTCTAACACCAAAGTTCACTTTGTAAGTTGGGGTTGGGAACCTTGGGAGTCGAGGACACTCCTCAAATTCACCACACCTAACACCCTGCACATTCTGTTCTTGGCCTTCTTGGAAGATCTTATCTCAATGCATTGCCCAACAGATATACACCTCACTAGCTGTAAGGGGCTCTATCAACACCCATGCCCTGCTTGACTTTGGATTTAAAATAAATCTGTGTTCTAGCACTTTTGCAGAGGTTGCTAGAGCAATGCTCTCTCTCTGCAAGCCATTGCAAATCAACATCTGCAACATGAGCATTACCAGTTACATGCAGGATAAGTCAGCCATCACAAAATATGCTTGGGTCAACACACCACTCCAGGAGATAAAAAAATAAACTACACAGAAAATATGTTTCAAATCCCCATTCACTCATGGTGCTTATGAATCCTATAGAAATAAATACACTCATACCATTAGATCTGCAAAAAAGAAATATTTCGGTGAAAAATGTATGTAGTGTAAAACAACACGTGGAAGTAATAAATCAGGTGTTGCAAAGAGAAAAAAATGACCCCAGAGCTTCCTTCAGTCTTTTTGGATAGTGAAAATTCTCTTGACAAGCCATTTGATATAGCTCAAAAATTGAATGAATTCTTTGAAAATATTGGTCATGAATTAGCTAACAATATTCCTGCTTGTCATGGGAATCCACTGGATTTTATTTCAATAAATGTCCCTATTATCTCTAATATTATGCCCACTGATATTCAAGTGATATAATCGATGATCTTAAAACATCTTCAACTGGCCATGACATCATTTTTTGCATTCCTTGTCAAACAGGTCAATATTGCAGCCACTTGCTCACATCTCCACCTTGTCTTTGAAAACAGGTGTTGTGCCAGAAGATTTAAAAATTGCCAAAGTCATTCCTTTGTTTAAACCAGAAAATCCACGTTGTTTTAACAACTATAGACCCATATCTATTTTGCCTTGCTTTTCAAAAATACTAGAAAAAATTGTACACAAAAGGATTATGTTTCATGTAGAGCCTGATTCATTTCTTTACAAACACCAGTATGGTTTCCTTAAAAATCATTCAACTTATATGGCTTTACTTTACCTTGTTGATAAAGTTATCTCTGCACTTGATATTAATGACCTTGCTTGCAGTATTTTCATAGACCTTTCCAAAGCCTTTGATACAGTAAACCATCATATTTGATTGGAAAAGCTGCATAAATATGGTTTCAATGATATTGCATACAAATGTTTAATACTGATGTCTCCAATAGAAGACAGTTTGTTTGTGTTAACGGTTGCTGCTCCAACGAAGCCAGACTAATATGTGGGGTTCCACAGTGGTCCGTTACCAATATTAACACTTATTTATAATAATTTTTGAATATAAAAAAATATATTATTTTATTATTTTCAGTGGCAAAAGACCATACTCTAAGGATTTATCTAAAATTTAAATTTAATGTTTTGAGATGCCTCAAGTGTCATCTACAAAATTCCTGGGAACTATTATTGATGAGAGTTTAAGTTGGAGTAAACATATTGACTTATCTATTAACAAACAAATCTATTGGAATAATGAGGGTTAGACATCTTGTCTCTGCAAACTGTCTCCTTATTCTTTATTATGGTATAATTTATCCCTATCGTTCATATTGTAATGTAGTTTGGGCAAGTACTTTTCCTACTACTCTGTAAAAAATGTTGGTCCTCCAGAAACGTTTTGTTATGATTGCAACCCAATCACAGTCAGACATCTCATCTGCTCTTCTATTTCAGAAACTGCAGATTCTTACTATTTATGACATCAATATTTCTCAAATTTGTGTTTTTATTGATAAGATACTTTCAGGTGAAGGGAATATTCCTGATAATTTCAAGACCTACTTTAAAGTCAATTCACAGGTTCACTCTGACTCAACTCATCAATCTTCAGACCTTAATCCTCCCAAATTACTGACTAGCAGAGGTCAATTTTCAATAAGATTTAGGGGAACCAAATTATGAATGACTTTTCCCACCTAACAAAAAAATGTTCATCTAAAAAATGTTTCAAAAGGTGCTTCAATTAAATGTAATTGCTGTAATTTTATGTATTAATGTTCATGTCTTTCTTGTTTTAGCTGTTATATTATATTTATAGTTGTTTCACTCTTAGGGACTTGCCATTACCATTGCTTAGGAGTTACTGTAGGTGTATAAACCAATATCCCCTGAACAAACACAAGCCCACGCTTACTCTCACACACATGCACTCATGTGCACGCACACTTATGTCTAACACATCGACACAATTACATTTTCTTTCTCTTTTGTTGTTTGTAATGTATAGATATTGTTATCATATTTCATATCTTGTAAAAACATCTTGTCAATAATATTTTAGGTAGTCATATCTTATGCATGTTCATTTTATGTTCTGTGTAATATTGTGAAATTTTAATATTATATAGGTGGAGGCTTCAAATAAGCCCAGTTAGCTTTCTGCTTCTTCCTTCAATGTGATATTATTTATCTCTGATATGTTTGTTTATTTTTTATTTATTTTTTTAAATAGATGTTTATTTATTTGCACAAAGTTTCTAGTCACAGAGGAAGAAGTGGCAAGAAAAGCCAAAAATGATTCCTTCATGGTCTGCTCCCTAGGGCATCAACCTTCAGGCCTTTATACTTAATTGGAATCTCAGCCTCAGGGCCTCCCAAAAAAAAAAACAACCTCCTCGAACAAGAACAATTACAAAGCTTGGGTAAAATGTTTCAGGGTACTGTAGTCACTACGAACTTACATTCTGCAATGTCTACGATTACACCTGGCATGCTTTAGAGACTTTTTCAGAAGTTGTAAAAGAGAACTTAACCTATGTGCGAGTAGTCAGAGACTTCATGGAGGACCTCATTTGAAAAGTAAGCTCCTCAGTCAACAGCCTGAGCGGTGTACCTTTTCCAGTGTATCTGGTATCCCTGGACCATGTTAAGCAGAAAATTACCCCTGGCACTACTACTGTTGTGAACCCTTCACAACTACACATGGTGTATAGTCTCTGCAGTGCAATCCCAATTTTAGTAGACCCTAAGAGGTTTTTGTACACCTTAAAACACCCCCAACCATTGCTTACCTTGCTCTACCTCATTCCTAACCAACAAAGGACATATACTGGGTTTGCCACTGAATCAACCAGGCATTATGATCAGTACCGGTATGTGTGTGCCTGTGTGTGTCCTAGAAGAGAAGTGGAGCAGTTAGTTGCTGACTCAGCCTCCTTCAATCTGCATAGTGACTCCCCCTGGAGGTTCACGCACACACACATATATGTGAAGCTCTTCCTACAAACTGAAGTTAAAGGTGGTTGCAGAATAAGAATAATAACAAGAAATACAGTATTAATTCCATGGAGTCAGCAGACAGAATGAGTAGTTTCAGAATGGCTCTTCATTACTGCATGGTGGACATGTACAGTTGTGGTGCAGTGAAAGTAATGTAGATGGTTGAGGTTAATCATGTAATAATTGTCTGCCCAGAAATTAAAATAATATTAAAAATCCTCTCCTTACTATTGCATCTATGTTGCATGCACATCGCCGTTATTAATGAACCCGATAACTTTAACACAGACCAATAGTTTAGGTTTGTGGTCATCAAACTGTAAAATCATTACATACAAAGACAAGTGTTTGGCAGCATGTACTTTCATATGCCAGCACCATACAACAGTATATCAACATGTCCACTTTCACATGCTCCATCTGTCCGTCTCTCTCCCTCCACAGTGTGTACCATGTGTATATTTTGTGCATGTTTGATTTTTCTTATAGTTCTTCTTTTTGTTTTTCATGAATGTGTTATTAGCTCCAGATCACTATCTTATCATTTTTTTAATAGCCTAGTATTCTCATGGAACCCCATTGAACTGTGCCTGCTGAGCTGTCCCTGACTCATAGAGTGCATCCTGGAGGTTCAGCCCTGACTGCATAATGAGCTGCTATCTTAGTAAACCAGATGGCTTTTCCACAATCTAACAATGGACTTTATTGTTAGATTGTTTTCAACATCAAGAGCGAACGTAACTTCACATCAAACCCCTATAAAGAGGGATTTATATAAAACTGGTGCTCTTTGTGTCAGGAAAGCCATGAGAAAACACAACCACACTTACTTCCACTGCACACACTGGAAATGAATACACCTGATCAGAAACTTGACACCATTTCTTTAATAAGTTCAGCAGACGCAGTGAAAAGAGTTTGGCAGTAGTGTTCAAGTGCCCAAAGTATACTTGAATGTCCTGACTAATATCATTTGTGGCTGAATTAAAACTCAGAGGTAAAGATAGGTAAACCCTTTCTTTAGCTGCTAGAGGGCAGCATTTCGCTGTCAATGGTGCATGAATGCAGCAGAGTACCATCTGCATAACCTTCTGGGGCTACGATATGTGGAAGAGGAGGAGTAAGCAGAGCTTTGTCTCTTTAAGCATCCAGAGGACATGTTGGTGCACAAATGATCTGCTTTAAGACTCATCCGCTGGGCTTACAGAGCTCAGCCTCTTTCTGCTGGATCCACACATCCCACAGTAAGAGTGTTTGATGAGACTTTCTGTGACAAGTCCAGGTCTTTCTCACTGTCTTCGTCTGTGATGGACAGTTAACCTCTTCTCACTAGATAGATTGATATATTCATAACTAAGTCTTCATTAGCGTATGATCACCTGAAACTAAGAATGGGGTTGTTTTCGTTAGCTTCAAATGAGCCCATCATATTTACATGGGGAGCGGGTCCTCTTCACAGAAGCCACCATGTTGCACCACCATGTTTCTACAGTAGCCCAGAATGGACAAATGAAACACTGGCCCTAGAGAAAGCCTTTCTTGTTTGAATGTTATCTGAAGGCCACCGCAGTCCTTCTAGTGAAGGCTGTGTTGTTGATGAGGATTCTTGCATGTAACACGTTGAAGTCCATGAATGGTGAGCAAGACATATTCCATCAAAGGCAAAGAAGCAGAAACTGGACTCTGATATTTCACTAGATACAACTAAACAATGCTACAGTGAATGTGTCAATGTATTAGCCTGTCTATGCAGCCCATCAGTGGCTTTAAGCAACAAAAAAACAACTATTTGTGCTCCTGCGTCTAGCAATAGCTGTCACCGTGTGAAAGTTCCTACCTACAGTATATTGCACATGTTCCTAAGAATAAGCATGCACTTACTGGACCACTTTGGTGTGCTACATACACTTGACTCCAAGTGGTTCCTACAGGAGTATTTTGAAATTTGATATTGCTACTTTTACTGAAGTAAAGGATCTAAATACTTCTTCCACCACCGCAAACCCTACATCAACTTCTTTTTAACTGACTTAAAGTACTGACACTGTTGGTGTTGTGGATGCTCTAAACACAAAAAAGAAAACAAGCAAAAAGCCTCCCAGCAGAAATTTGAACAGTTGAGAGGATTAAGAAGGGGAAGTCAGAGGGCTGAGCACAAATGGCATCTATTCAATCTTTAGATCCTCTGCGACATTTACAGATTAACTATAACAAGAAGAAGACATTTTGAGACACTCACAATTCTCCAGGATCATTGATAAATAACATCTTAAACAAGGCTTGACCCCATTACGCTACAACTAGCATTCACTTACATTCTCCGTTCACTTCCCAGAATATTTTCTTATATTCTAACTGGAACCAGGGAACCTGATCACAACCATTGAGTTTTAGCTACATTGGTCTGTGAGTGTCAGAACAGATGTTCAAATTAAAGAGAGGCCTGGCACATCAGTGCTCTGACGATTATCTACCATGAACCTCTGATCATCAGCCAGTGGCCTTCCTTTCATTTACTGTAAAAAGTAAATTTTCCAAAATACTGGTTCTTAAAATATTCCACATGTAGCAGATATAAAGAAATGTGTATTTGGGTCAATGCTGCTTTGTCTCTTCATGCAGGTTGCTCTCTGTGTGATCCCTCCTCTTCCCCCTTCATTATAATGATCATTACTGTCTGCTGCCCTCCTACATATCCCTTGCCACCTAGTGAGTTTAAACGTTAACTGGATGTGACTGGAGGCACTAGCCCTTTAGTTTGCAACAAAACTAAACAATAAATACTAGAATTATCATGCTCTCGCTGTCATCTCACTGACAAGAAAAACAAAAATTCAATTCTGCAGTTGTGTAGCATATCCAACACTGCACATTTTAGTATGTCATAATCACTGACCTATTCTGACAAAATCCACACAATAATTATACACAAAACAGAACAACAGGATAACAGCATGCAGCCATAATACTAAGAGGGTTAAAAATTCATTAATGAACTGTTATTGTACAGTGTTGAGCTTTAACAGTGTACCGTGACAGAAAGCTGTTAAACAGTTCCAGTAATATTATACTGAAATGATGAAGATAATAATATGATGATAATATGATGAAAAAAAGAAAATTTGGACAAAGTCATTAATATCATATCATAGTGATGTAGAGTTCCTATACTCTACCAGATGTGCTCGAATAGGACTATATCATATATATTACACAGGGCTTGAAATGAAAACGTTATTGATCTACAGTGCCATTTTAGTTTTTTTATATTTCATTTAGATTTGCCATTATTTTTCAATTATTGGGTAGCCCTATTGTTGGTTCTGTTTCATATCATTTTACACACAGACCTTAATAACTAAAAGCTTCTGCCTCTTAGCTGCTTTTCTCGCTTGCTCGCTCACAAAAATAATCTAGGTTGGCTATTCCATACAAAAAACAATAAGCAGGCCATGTAATACATATTTTCAGGAGCGTTATGGGGAGGCTTATAGCCTGTCAAAAGTGTTGCCACACACTAGAAGGTAAAAGGACATCAAAAGGACAGTATCTGACTCGTGTGTTTGCAAACATTTTCTTCCTTAAAATAAAACTACACTTAATTACAATGGAGGTTTCATTTTTGTAGCTTGGGTCATTGGTTTTATTGCTTGTGATAGCATTACTATAGTAATGCTATCACAAGTAACAATAGTTTAAAAGAGTATAAACAAGCCGACAGCCAATCCAGATGATCTAAGCCACTTTATGCAGAGGTCACCCTGAAATATCGCTCATAGTCCCTCATTGTGCAGGAATACTGTGTGCACAATTAAAGTAAGTACACTAGGTTAATGTTGAAACATGAGTTTGGCATTTTTTTCCAAAAAACTTTTGCTAAACTATTGGCTGATCAGAGACCTTTGATAACTGTGTTCCAAGAACAGTATTATTATTTCTGATTGCTACCAATAATAAACAGTTGTAACTGTACAAACAATCCAGCTGTCAATTGTGTGCAAATAAAACAATCAGTAATCTGGCACATCTCAGTGGCAATGAGAGACTGTGTGACTGTTGACTGAAAAACAGAAAAAATGTTTAATTTCATTCAGTTTTAATATCATAAAACTGCTGATGAAAAATGTTTCTGCAGTGTCCAGTGTTCTTT